TCCAGCTTTCCTAGTCTTAAGGCAGCCGCTCCTGATAGTGTTTACTGTGACTGACCCAATGGTTTAGGGTAGTTCGGCGGGACCTTATAAATTGTACAAAGAGGCAGAGGCATCATTGGTAGCGCCCACCTTATATGCGCTAACCCCAGAGTCGTGTCTTATGGTACCGGTGGTAATAGGGGTTTTTTGGTTGGGAGAAAATAGGCAAAAGTCTAATCGTGAGTACGGAAAGCTAAGGATTGGCAGCTCAGGTGGACTTACGTAGAGGTTAATGCTATGACAATACTATAGAAGGCTAATCGCGATTATGTAGTTTACTATGCTTAACTACCTACTTATTTCGTTATACATAACCATAAACTTAACCCTAAACCTTACCGTAACCTTTACCCTCAGTCTTACCATAACACTAACCCTTCCCCTAAACCTAACCCATATCGTGAGGCACAAGTCCTGGGCTAAGGGTATATAAGGTGCATTCCCAATGATACCTCTGCACACAACGATCTTCGTTTGGGTTCACATGATGCATGGAATCAACAACAGACTTGAGCAGGGCGCCGTTCTTGCTCATAATTTCGCCTCTTGTCAACCATACCAAGAGGTGATCTCGTATTCTTTTAGACAGACCTCGACGCCTGCGACCTCGATATCCTGCTCCTGTGGAGCAAATGAGGGAATAAATGCATATCAGGATCGCCTGATATGGCAATATACCCTTAACTTTTCCATGTAAAAAGGGGTTGATCAAGAACAATGCCCAAAAATTTGCTGCTGGTAATTTTCTTGAGGTAGTTTGCCCAGGCGTGGCCTTACGAGTAGTCTCACCCCGCGCCTTGATAGAAGACTTTGAGGAGAAGTTTTACTTTGCGTAGTAAATCTGTTGGGTTTTTGGGTCACTCAACAATATTCTGTGCGGATACCCACTTTCGTGAAGCAGGTCCTGGGTCTCTCGAAGTTTCTCCTCGAAGTTCTCCGCGGACACGTTTTTTGTCTAGCTCTTTGCGCCAAACGACGGCCTAGATTGCGTTTATTTTGAAAGAATATCAAGCTGCCAAAAATCGCTAAGGCCAGAAGCAAGAAAAGCCAAGAACTGACTGAAACCTGAGCCTGTGATGAGAACTCAGCAAA